TCGAAGAACGCCTTCTGGCGGATGTAGGCGACGGGGCCTTTGAAGAGCAAGACTATGGCATAGTCGCCGGACTCCGTCCGGAACTCCGACAGTTTGCGCTTGCCTGCGTTCGTTCGCAGCAGTTGCATCAGCGTTCGGAGGGTTTCCTTGGCGAGGGTGCCTTCAGCATCTGGTGGGCAGATCTGACGGAGGGTCCTGTCTCCGGCCGTGGCTGCGAAGGTCTGCGCTAGCTCCCGCATTTCGAACATGGGTGTGGATCTCGGAAACATCCTGCGTGTTACTGTCTGCGTCTGGAAGTGGACATCGGAGCTGTCGCTTACTTTGATGTTCATCACGCAGGGCTCCTGTGCCACGTAGATCCGCATCGTGGCCGCGTTCTTCGTACTCAAGGCCATCAGCTGGAGCTCCACCTGCCCTGGGTCCGGGGCCAAGCCCGGACCAGGGAACACGACGTCCACGCCGTGCGGTTTCTGGTCTAGGAGCTGGAATCCTGGTGCATGCAACGCGTCGCAGAGCCGGGCGAAGGGCACCTGCGGCATGTACGGCTCCCCACCGCGTAGGCCCCCCCTCCCTCCCCCCCCACCCGGTGCCCCCTCCGGAGGGTCCCCCCCCTCCCTCCCCCCCTTCCCTCCCCCGCTCCCTTCCCTCCCCCTCGCTCTGCCCCTCCCACCCCCTCCCAAACCCGCTCACTTAGACCGCAACTAGCGTGGAGTGCCAGGTGCGTATCCTCAAGAAGAAAAAGGCCGGGAGCGGGAACGAAGCCGTGCAGGCTCGCCTGCATGGTGTCCCAGGTACGTGGTCCCACCCCCAAGAAGACCGAAGTGAGGAGGTGAGCGCTGATTATCCTCAACCAATGTGGGGTCCCAGGTGCGTGGTCTCAGTCGAAGAAGGCGGAGGCAGGGACGAGGCCGGAGCACTTATCCTCACCCAATATGGGGTCCCAGGTGCGTGGTCTCAGCCCGAAGAAGGCGACGAGCCCGGAGCGCTTTTCCTCAACCAATATGTTCCAGGCGCGTGCTCGGAGGCGGGAGCGCTTATCCTCAACCAATATGGGGTCCCAGGTGCGTGCTCTCGCGGACCAGGCCGGCGCAATATGGGGTTCCAGGCGCGTGGTCTCAGCCCGAAGAAGGCGGAGGCGGGGACGAGGCCGGAGCTGGGGTCCCAGGTGCGTGCTCGGTAGGGACGAGGCCGGAGCGCTTATCCTCAACCAATATGGGGTCCCAGGTGCGAAAGCGGAGGCGGGGACGAGGCCGGAGCGCTTATCCTCGACCAACGTGGAGTCCGAGGTACGCGATCTCGGCCCGAAGAAGGTGAAGGTGGGGACGAGGGCGGAGCACTTATCCTCAACCGATATGGGGTCCTAGGTGCGTGCCCTACCGCAGCGTGCATCAGTGCCAGGTGCTTGAAGCCAGAAGAAGGCGGGCTTCAAGAGGAGGCGACAACAAGCTCGAAGGACTTACTCTCAGAATACGTTCTCGGCGCGTGGTCTCAACCTGAAGAAGACAGAGGCGGCGACAAGGCCGGATCGCCTATCCGCAACTGTCATGGGTTCCCAGGTTCGTGGTCTGGAGAGAACAGAAGCCGAGACCAGGCCGGAGTGCCTATCCTCAATCAATATGGGGTCCCAGGTGCGCGGTCTCAACTTGAAGAGGATGGAGGCGGGAACCAGGCCGGAGCACTTCTCCTAAACCAAAACCGGGTCTGAGGTGCGTGGTCTCAACTCGAACAGGACGGAGGCGAGGAGAGGCCGGAGTGCCTATCCTCAACCAAGATAGGCTCCCAGGTGCATGGTTTCATCTTGGAGAAAAGAGAAAGGACGAGGCCTCAACCAATATGAGGTCCGAGGTGCGTGACCCCAGCAAAAAGACGACGGAGGCAAGGACAAGGCCGGGGGTTCGAAGTGCGTGGCCCCAGGAAGCTCAAGCTGAAGAAGACAGAGGCAAGAACGAGGCCGGGAGGGCTTATCCTCAACCAATATAAGTTTCCGAGGCGTGGAAGCTCAAGATGCAGAAGGGCAAGGACAAGGCCGGGAGGGTTTATCATCAACCAATATGGGTTTCCAAGACGTGGGGTCTCAAGCTGCAGAAGCGCAATGACAAGGCCGGGAGGGTTTATCCTCAACTAGTATGGGTTTCCGAGGTGTGGAAGCTCACAAGTCGAAGAAGACAGAGGCAAGGACAAGGCCGGGAGGGGTTATACTCAACCAGTATGGGTTTCCGAGGTGCGGAAGCTCACAAGTCGAAGAAGACAGAGGCAACGGCAAGGCCGGGAGAGCTTATCCTCAACCGATGTGGGTTTCCGAGGTGCGGAAGCTCACAAGTCGAAGAAGACAGAGGCAACGGCAAGGCCGGGAGAGCTTATCCTCAACCGATGTGGGTTTCCGGGGTGTGGAAGCTCCAGCCGAAGAAGACGGAGGCAGGGACAAGGCGGGAAGGCTTATCCTCAACCGGTATGGGGTTCCGAGGTGTGGGAGCTCAAGCCGAAGAAGACAGAGGCAAGGACAATCCAGGGTATGGAAGCTTGAGCCTCAACCAATGTGTGTTGCCGAGGTGTGTGGTCTCAGCGACAAGGCTGAGAGGGCTTATCCGGAGAGCTTTTCCTCAAACAAAACAGGAACCTGAAGGTATGCAGTTCAGGAGCTAGCCGACCTTCCCCCTCCCCCTCCCTCCCCCTCCCATGCCCTATTGACGGCCTCCCTTCCAGAGGTGGCACGAATTCTGAGGGTGAAAGAAGCAGAGTCTATCAGCCTTCCGGAGTTTCCTAGTCCAGAGTCGTATCGTTCGTGGAAAACGGCAGCTAGGGAAGCGGTCAGGGCAGCATCAGATTCACCTGATGAGGCGTTTAAATGGGTGATGAAGGCCTACGACAAAGACGCATCGCAGGAATCCCTTCGAGACCCCGAGAAATTCCTCACCCTTGACACGAAACTTCTTGCTGCACTCACAAAAGTCGCTAGGGGAGAACTCTCCCGAGAAATCCTCATTTTTAAGGAGACAGAAGCGGCGAAATTCAGGGCGGTACGAGGACGACAGGTGCTCTACCTCTTCGATCAGTACTTCAAGACGAACGAGGAGGTTGGATCACTGTACTCCGTGGAGGACCCCCCACCCGGTGCCCCCTCCGGAGGGTCCCCCCCCTCCCCCCCCTTCCCTCCCCCGCTCCCTTCCCTCCCCCTCGCTCTGCCCCTCCCACCCCCTCCCAAACCCGCTCACTTAGACCGCAACTAGCGTGGAGTGCCAGGTGCGTATCCTCAAGACCGCCATGGTAACCTGCGAGCCGCATGACGCAGGCAAGCTGAACCAAATCCCGCCACCCTCTTTGCCTTCAGATTTTAGACCCAACCGTCTCAGCCCCTACGCCCCAGGGCCCAGCCCAGCAGCCCAGCAGCCCACAACCCCGCAACAGCAGCACCCAGCCCAGCCCAGAGCCCCCTTCCCCAGTCCCAGCCCGGTCAATCAAGGGCTCAGCCAGCCAATAATGCCCAAGCCCACTCGGGACCTGAACCCCCGCCACCCTCCTTGCCTTCAGATTTTAGACCCACCCGCCTCAGCCCCTACGCACCAGGGCCCAGCCCACCAGCCCGGTCAATCAACCCCTTCGCAGCTCAAGCCGGGGGCTTAGCCAGCCGACAATGCCCAAGCCCTAGCTGGTCCAGCCCAGCCCAGCCACTTCGCCAGCCGAATGCCCAAGCCCTAGCCGGTCCAGCCCAGCCCAGCCACTTCCCAAAGTCAAAATGACAAAGCAAAAACAAAAACCCGCTCAAAACTCGGTAAAAACTTTGTCAAAACTCGGTCAAAACTCGGTCAAAACTCGGGACCTGAACCCTATACAATTTCTATAAACCCTAAACCCTAAACTGAAGCGAGCTGCGGGCGCTGCGAATAGCAGCAGCGAGCGTGCCGAAGCGTCAGTGAGGCTGGCTCCGGAGCTGGCGCGACAGGCGCAGCGAAGGAGCCCCAGCACCGGCTCAGGTGCTGGCGCATGCGACAGGCATGCTAGCCAATCAGAACAATATGACCCTAAACCTCCAACCTCGGAGGTTGGTGTCCCTCTCCCTGCCCTGGCCCTGGCCCTGGGCCTGGCCCGCCTAGTCCTGGTCCTGGGCCTGGTCTTGCCCCTGGCCCAGCGCCTGCCTGGCCTAGGCCTGCCCTGCCTGCCCTGCCTGGCCCTGGCCCTGGCCCTCCCTGGCCCTGGCCCTGCCTGGTCCTGGTCTTGACCGCCTGGCTGCCCTGCTTGCCCTGCCTGCCCTTCCCTACCCTTCCCTGCCCTTCTCTGCCCTGGCTGCTGCTTGCCCTGATTTTGGGCCACCGCCCAAACCTTGACAAAAAACCCTCCCTTCCCTGCCTGTGCTCTGCCCTGAGCTGCCTGCTCTGCCCTGCCCTGCCCCTGCCCTGCCCTGCACTGCCCTGCCCTGCCCTGCCCTGCCCTGCCCCGCCCTGCCTCTGCAGTGCTTGCCCTGATTTTGGGCCACCGCCAGACCAAGCCACAAACCTTGAAAAAAACCCTAAACCCGACAAAGGTCATAGACTGGGTGGGCGGGTAGGGCGAGAGCGTTGAACCTAGGCGCACACCACAACACACGTCTCGCGTGGTGGTGTGCGCGGAGCATCGACACACCCTAAACCCTAAACCCTAAACCCTAAACCCTAAACCCTAAACCCTCAAGAAAGTGATAAATAGAAATTGCTTGTCCTTGTTTGTAACCACCGCTAAGGCCCAGCATTTCGGTTAAAACTGGCGTTAGCTTCTTGAAAATCTAATTTCGCACAACCACAACCTCAACCATTAACTCAGCCCAGCCAACTCAAAACAGCCACCCGATCAAAAACGGAACAAGCTTCTTGATAAACCAATTTCGCACAACCACGACCTCAACTTCTAACTCAGCCCAGCCAGCCAAGCCAACCCGGTCCAGCCCAGCCCAGCCGGCCCAACACACCGATTGAAAATTGAGTAAGCTTCTTGATAAACCAATTTCTCCACAAACTTGTAACCACTAGGAGCAGGCCACGAAAGGCCAGGAGCAGGCCACGAAAGGCCAGGAGCAGGCCACGAAAGGCCAGGAGCAGGCCACGAAAGGCCAGGAGCAGGCCACGAAAGGCCAGGAGCAGGCCACGAAAGGCCAGGAGCAGGCCACGAAAGGCCAGGAGCAGGCCACGAAAGGCCAGGAGCAGGCCACGAAAGGCCAGGAGCAGGCCACGAAAGGCCAGGAGCAGGCCACGAAAGGCCAGGAGCAGGCCACGAAAGGCCAGGAGCAGGCCACGAAAGGCCAGGAGCAGGCCACGAAAGGCCAGGAGCAGGCCACGAAAGGCCAGGAGAAGGCCACGAAAGGCCAGGAGCAGGCCACGAAAGGCCAGGAGCAGGCCACGAAAGGCCAGGAGCAGGCCACGAAAGGCCAGGAGCAGGCCACGAAAGGCCAGGAGCAGGCCGCGAAAGGCCAGGAGCAGGCCACGAAAGGCCAGGAGCAGGCCACGAAAGGCCAGGAGCAGGCCACGAAAGGCCAGGAGCAGGCCACGAAAGGCCAGGATCAGGCCACGAAAGGCCAGGAGCAGGCCACGAAAGGCCAGGAGCAGGCCACGAAAGGCCAGGAGCAGGCCACGAAAGACCAGGAGCAGGCCACGAAAGGCCAGGAGCAGGCCACGAAAGGCCAGGAGCAGGCCACGAAAGGCCAAAAGCAGGCCACGAAAGGTCAAGAGCAGGCCACGAAAGGCCAGGAGCAGGCCACGAAAGGCCAGGAGCAGGCCACGAAAGGCCAGGAGCAGGCCACGAAAGGCCAGGAGCAGGCCACGAAAGGCCAGGAGCAGGCCACGAAAGGCCAGGAGCAGGCCACGAAAGGCCAGGAGCAGGCCACGAAAGGCCAGGAGCAGGCCACGAAAGGCCAGGAGCAGGCCACGAAAGGCCAGGAGCAGGCCACGAAAGGCCAGGAGCAGGCCACGAAAGGCCAGGAGCAGGCCACGAAAGGTCAGGAGCAGGCCACGAAAGACCAGGAGCAGGCCACGAAAGGCCAGGAGCAGGCCACGAAAGGCCAGGAGCAGGCCACGAAAGGCCAGGAGCAGGCCACGAAAGGCCAAGAGCAGGCCACGAAAGGCCAGGAGCAGGCCACGAAAGGCCAGGAGCAGGCCACGAAAGGCCAGGACCAGGCCACGAAGGCCACGAAAGGCCAGGAGCAGGCCACGAAAGGCCAGGAGCAGGCCACGAAAGGCCAGGAGCAGGCCACGAAAGGCCAGAGCAGGCCACGAAAGGCCAGGAGCAGGCCACGAAAGGCCAGGAGCAGGCCACGAAAGGCCAGGAGCAGGCCACGAAAGGCCAGGAGCAGGCCACGAAAAACGTCTCGCTCAAAAGTTTCGCTCGAAACGTTTCGCAGCCCCCAACAAATTTGAAAGACCAGCCCCAGCCTCCAGCCTCAGCCCCCGCCCCAGCCCCAAGACGGTCAAAACGTCTCGCTCCAAAGTTTCGTTCAAAACATTTCGCAGCCCCCAAGAAATTGGGAAACATTGTTCGCAAAAAAAAACTTTCGGTCAAAACGTTTCGTTCAAAACGTTTCGTTCAAAACTTTCGGTCAAAAAGTTTTTGGGACCCAAACCCTTAACAATTTCTATAAACCCTAAACCCTAAACCCTAAACCCTAAACCCTCAAGAGCAGGATAAATAGAAATTGTGTGACTTTCGTTTCGAACTGCATTTGCATTATTTTCAAATTTTCATTAATCGTGTCCAACCCAATTCCAGCCCAGCCCGCCACTCCCAAAATGAAAGCTTCAAGCAAAAAAACGAAACCCGCCCAAAACTTTCGCTCAAAACTTTCGCCCAAAACTTTCGTCCATCGCAAGAGCTGCGGAGGCTTGAGCAGCTCCAGATCAAGCTTGGCAGCACAGCCCCGCCCAGCCCACCCAGCCAGCCCAGCGCAGTTCAGCTACCAGCCGAACCCAGCCTACCAGCCCAACCCAACCCAGCCCAGCCCAGCCAGTCAAGCCAGCCAAAAAGCGAAGCAAAAACAAAACCGTCCCCCAAATCCCAGAAACCAAAATGCAAAAGCAAAACCCAAAACCCGGCAAAACCCCCCAAAACCCGGCAAAACTCCGGAGACGAAGCAAAAGTAAAACCGTCCTCCAAATCTCAGAAACCAAAATGCAAAAGGCAAAACCCACAACCCGGCAAAACCCCGCAAAACCCATCCCCAGGTCCAGCCCCGCCCCAGCCCCAGCCCCAACCCAGCAGCTAGCCCCAGCCCAGAAGCGCCCTCAGCCAGCCAGCCCCAGCCCAGCCAACCCATTTTTTTTTACAGCCCCCCAGCCCAGCCCAGCCCCCACCCAGCCCGCACCAGCCAGCTCGGACCCCAGTCCGCCACCCAAAATGAAAGTTTCAAGTCAAAAAACAAAACCCGCTCAGAAGTTTCGGTCAAAACGTTTCGGTCAAAACTGTCCCCGAAATCCCAGAAATTCAAAAGCAAAACCCAAAACCCGGCAAAACCCCCCAAAACCCCCCAAAACCCCCCAAAACCCGGCAAAACCCGGCAAAACTCCGGACCCAAACCCTATACAATTTCTATAAACCCTAAACCCTAAACCCTAAACCCTAAACCCTAAACCCTAAACCCTAAACCCTCAAGAAAGTGATAAATAGAAATTGCTTGTCCTTGTTTGTAACAACCGCTACGGCCCAACACAAAAGTTAAAAATTGAACAAGCTTCTTGATAAACCAGTTTCTCTACGAACTTGTAACCACCGGTACGGCCCGGCCAACATTGAGCTAGAGCTCAAAATCGGAGCAAGCTTCTTGATAAACCAATTTCTCTACAACCTTCAGCCCAGGCAACCCAGCCCACCAGCCAGTCCAAGCAGCCCGACCCAGCCTAGGCCAGCCCAGCCCAGCCACAGCCCAGCCCAGGCAAGAACTTTCGGTCACAACGTTTCGTTCAAAACGTTTCGCCCAAAACGTTTCGCTCAAAACGTTTCGCTCAAAACGTTTTTGGCACCCAAGAGCCCCAGCCCCCCAGCAAATTTGAAAACATGGTTCGCAAAAAAAAACTTTCGGTCAAAACGTTTCGTTCAAAACTTTCGGTCAAAACGTTTCGTTCAAAACTTTCGGTCAAAAAGTTTTTGGGACCCAAACCCTTAACAATTTCTATAAACCCTAAACCCTAAACCCTAAACCCTAAACCCTAAACCCTAAACCCTAAACCCTCAAGAGCAGAATAAATAGAAATTGTGTGATTTTCGTTTCGATCTGCAGTTGCAATAGTTTCAAATTTTCGCTAAACGTGTCCAACCAAATCCAGCGGACAAGGCGGGAAGGCTTATCCTCAACCGGTATGGGGTTCCAAGGTGTGGGAGCTCAAGCCGAAGAAGACAGAGGCAAGGACAATCCAGGGTATGGAAGCTTGAGCCTCAACCAATGTGGGTTGCCGAGGTGTGTGGTCTCAGCGACAAGGCTGAGAGGGCTTATCCGGAGAGCTTTTCCTCAAACAAAACAGGAACCTGAAGGTATGCAGTTCAGGAGCTAGCCGACCTTCCCCCTCCCCCCTCCCTCCCCCTCCCATGCCCTATTGACGGCCTCCCTTCCAGAGGTGGCAGGGTGGCACGAATTCTCAGGGAAGGTAGTGGCAGAAATCAATGGGGTGCGGGGTCTCCCCCCCGCCCCCCCTCCCCCGCCCTCCCCCCCCCCCTCCTGGGCCGGGAGGGTAGTGGGCAGACACCAAAAGACAATCCTCAACTAAAATAAAATGGGGCTCCCCCGCACCCCTCTCCCTCCCCCCCCCACCCGGTGCCCCCCTCCGGAGGGTCCCCCCCCTCCCTCCCCCCCTTCCCTCCCCCGCTCCCTTCCCTCCCCCTCGCTCTGCCCCTCCCACCCCCCTCCCAAACCCGCTCACTTAGACCGCAACCAGCGTGGAGTGCCAGGTGCGTATCCTCAAGAAGAAAAAGGCCGGGAGCGGGAACGAAGCCGTGCAGGCTCGCCTGCATGGTGTCCCAGGTACGTGGTCCCAACCCCAAGACGACCGAAGTGAGGAGGTGAGCGCTGATTATCCTCAACCAATGTGGGGTCCCAGGTGCGTGGTCTCAGTCGAAGAAGGCGGAGGCAGGGACGAGGCCGGAGCATTTATCCTCACCCAATATGGGGTCCCAGGTGCGTGGTCTCAGCCCGAAGAAGGCGACGAGGCCGGAGCGCTTTTCCTCAACCAATACGTTCCAGGCGCGTGCTCGGAGGCGGGAGCGCTTATCCTCAACCAATATGGGGTCCCAGGTGCGTGCTCTCGCGGACCAGGCCGGCGCAATATGGGGTTCCAGGCGCGTGGTCTCAGACCGAAGAAGGCGGAGGCGGGGACGAGGCCGGAGCTGGGGTCCCAGGTGCGTGCTCGGCAGGGACGAGGCCGGAGCGCTTATCCTCAACCAATATGGGGTCCCAGGTGCGAAAGCGGAGGCGGGGACGAGGCCGGAGCGCTTATCCTAGACCAACGTGGAGTCCCAGGTACGCGATCTCGGCCCGAAGAAGGTGAAGGTGGGGACGAGGGCGGAGCACTTATCCTCAACCGATATGGGGTCCTAGGTGCGTGCCCTACCGCAGCGTGCATCAGTGCCAGGTGCTTGAAGCCAGAAGAAGGCGGGCTTCAAGAGGAGGCGACAACAAGCTCGAAGGACTTACTCTCAGAATACGTTCTCGGCGCGTGGTCTCAACCTGAAGAAGACAGAGGCGGCGACAAGGCCGGATCGCCTATCCTCAACTGTCATGGGTTTCCAGGTTCGTGGTCTGGAGAGAACAGAAGCCGAGACCAGGCCGGAGTGCCTATCCTCAATCAATATGGGGTCCCAGGTGCGCGGTCTCAACTTGAAGAGGATGGAGGCGGGAACCAGGCCGGAGCACTTATCCTCAACCAATATCGGGTCCGAGGTGCGTGGTCTCAACTCGAACAGGACGGAGGCGAGGAGAGGCCGGAGTGCCTATCCTCAACCAAGATAGGGTCCCAGGTGCATGGTTTCATCTTGGAGAAAAGAGAAAGGACGAGGCCTAAACCAATATGAGGTCCGAGGTGCGTGACCCCAGCAAAAAGACGACGGAGGCAAGGACAAGGCCGGGGTTCGAAGTGCGTGGCCCCAGGAAGCTCAAGCTGAAGAAGACAGAGGTAAGAACGAGGCCGGGAGGGCTTATCCTCAACCAATATAAGTTTACGAGGCAAGGACAAGGCCGGGAGGGCCCATCCTCAACCAACATGGGGTTCCGAGGTGTGGAAGTTCAAGCTGAAGAAGACACAGGTAGGGACAAGGCCGGGGGGGGGCTCATCCTCAACCAGTATGGGTTTCCGAGGCGTGGAAGCTCAAGCTGAAGAAGGGCAAGGACAAGGCCGGGAGGGTGTATCATCAACAAATATGGGTTTCCAAGACGTGGGGTCTCAAGCTGCAGAAGCGCAACGACAAGGCCGGGAGGGTTTATCCTCAACTAGCACGGGTTTCCGAGGCGTGGAAGCTCACAAGTCGAAGAAGACAGAGGCAAGGATAAGGCCGGGAGGGTTTATACTCAACCGATGTGGGTTTCCGGGGTATGGAAGCGCCAGCCGAAGAAGACAGAGGCAGAGACAAGGCGGGAAGGCTTATCCTCAACCGGTATGGGGTTCCGAGGTGTGGAAGCTCAAGCCGAAGAAGACAGAGGCAAGGACAATCCAAGGTATGGAAGCTTGAGCCTCAACCAATGTGGTTGCCGAGGTGTGTGGGCTCAGCGACAAGGCCGAGAGAACAATCCTCAACTAAAATGGGGTGTGGGGTCTTCCCCCCGCCCCCCCTCCCCCTGAGCGCCCTCCCCCCTCCTCCTGGGGCGGGAGGGTAGTGGGCAGACACCAAAAAACAATCCTCAACTGAAATGGGTTCCCACCCTCCCCGGCCCCCTACCCCACCCTCCCCCCTTCCCTCCCCCTCCCCACCCGGTGCCTCCTCCGGGGGGGTGGCACGAGTCTCACGGGGGGGTAGTGGGCAGACACCAAAAAACAATCCTCAACTAAAATGGGGTGTGGGTTCCCCTTCCCCCGCACCCCTCCCCACCCTCCCCCCCCCCCTCCCCCCCACCCGGTGCCCCCTCCGGAGGGTCCACCCGCTCCCTCCCCCCCTTCCCTCCCTCCCCTTCCCTCCCCCGAACCCCGCACCGCAAGGCAGTGACCTCCCCACCCTCCTCCCCTCCCAACCCGCTCACTTAGACCGCAACCAGCGTAGAGTGCCAGGTGCGTATCCTCAAGAAGAAGAAGGCCGGGAGCGGGAACGAAGCCGTGCAGGCTCGCCTGCATGGTGTCCCAGGTACGTGGTCCCAACCCCAAGAGACCGAAGTGAGGAGGTGAGCGCTGTCCTCAACCAATGTGGGGTTCCAGGTGCGTGGTCTCAGTCGAAGAAGGCGGAGGCAGGGACGAGGCCGGAGCACTCATCCTCAACCAATATGGGGTCCCAGGTGCGCGGTCTCAGCCCGAAGAAGGCGACGAGGCCGGAGCGCTTATCCTCAACCAATATGTTCCAGGCGCATGCTCCGAAGCGGGAGCGCTTATCCTCAACCAATATGGGGTCCCAGGTGCGTGCTCTCGCGGACCAGGCCGGCGCAATACAGGATTCCAGGCGCGTGGTCTCAGCCCGAAGAAGGCGGAGGCGGGGACGAGGCCGGAGCTGGGGTCCCAGGTGCGTGCTCGGCAGGGACGAGGCCGGAGCGCTTATCCTCAACCAATAAGGGGTCCCAGGTGCGAAAGCGGAGGCGGGGACGAGGCCGGAGCGCTTATCCTCGACCAACGTGGAGTCCCAGGTACGCGCTCTCGGCCCGAAGAAGGTGAAGGTGGGGACGAGGGCGGAGCACTTATCCTCAACCGATATGGGGTCCTAGGTGCGCGCCCTACCGCAGCGTGCATCAGTGCAAGGTGCTTGAAGCCAGAAGAAGGCGAGCTTCAAGAGGAGGCGACAACAGGCTCGAAGGACTTACTCTCAGAATACGTTCTCGGCGCGTGGTCTCAACCTGAAGAAGACGGAGGCGGCGACAAGGCCGGATCGCCTATCCTCAACTGTCATGGGTTCCCAGGTTCGTGGTCTGGAGAGAACAGAAGCCGAGACCAGGCCGGAGTGCCTATCCTCAGTCAATATGGGGTCCCAGGTGCGCGGTCTCAACTTGAAGAGGATGGAGGCGGGAACCAGGCCGGAGCACTTCTCCTCAACCAATATCGGGTCCGAGGTGCGTGGTCTCAACTCGAACAGGACGGAGGCGAGGAGATGCCGGAGTGCCTATCCTCAACCAAGATAGGGTCCCAGGTGCATGGTTTCATCTTGGAGAAAAGAGAAAGGACGAGGCCTCAACCAATATGAGGTCCGAGGTGCGTGACCCCAGCAAAAAGACGACGCAGGCAAGGACAAGGCCGGGGTTCGAAGTGCGTGGCCCCAGGAAGCTCAAGCTGAAGAAGACAGAGGTAAGAACGAGGCCGGGAGGGCTTATCCTCAACCAATATAAGTTTCCGAGGCAAGGACAAGGCCGGGAGGGACCATCCTCAACCAACATGGGGTTCCGAGGTGTGGAAGTTCAAGCTGAAGAAGACACAGGTAGGGACAAGGCCGGGGGGGGGCTCATCCTCAACCAGTATGGGGTTCCGAGGCGTGGAAGCTCAAGCTGAAGAAGGGCAAGGACAAGGCCGGGAGGGTGTATCATCAACCAAGATGGGTTTCCAAGACGTGGGGTCTCAAGCTGCAGAAGCGCAACGACAAGGCCGGGAGGGTTTATCCTCAACTAGTACGGGTTTCCGAGGCGTGGAAGCTCACAAGTCGAAGAAGACAGAGGCAAGGATAAGGCCGGGAGGGGTTATACTCAACCGATGTGGGTTTCCGGGGTATGGAAGCTCCAGCCGAAGAAGACAGAGGCAGAGACAAGGCGGGAAGGCTTATCCTCAACCGGTATGGGGTTCCGAGGTGTGGAAGCTCAAGCCGAAGAAGACAGAGGCAAGGACAATCCAAGGTATGGAAGCTTGAGCCTCAACCAATGTGGTTGCCGAGGTGTGTGGTCTCAGCGACAAGGCCGGAGCGCTTATCCTCAACCAATAAGGGGTCCCAGGTGCGAAAGCGGAGGCGGGGACGAGGCCGGAGCGCTTATCCTCGACCAACGTGGAGTCCCAGGTACGCGATCTCGGCCCGAAGAAGGTGAAGGTGGGGACGAGGGCGGAGCACTTATCCTCAACCGATATGGGGTCCTAGGTGCGCGCCCTACCGCAGCGTGCAGCAGTGCCAGGTGCTTGAAGCCAGAAGAAGGCGAGCTTCAAGAGGAGGCGACAACAGGCTCGAAGGACTTACTCTCAGAATACGTTCTCGGCGCGTGGTCTCAACCTGAAGAAGACGGCGGCGGCGACAAGGCCGGATCGCCTATCCTCAACTGTCATGGGTTCCCAGGTTCGTGGTCTGGAGAGAACAGAAGCCGAGACCAGGCCGGAGTGCCTATCCTCAATCAATATGGGGTCCCAGGTGCGCAGTCTCAACTTGAAGAGGATGGAGGCGGGAACCAGGCCGGAGCACTTCTCCTCAACCAAAACCGGGTCTGAGGTGCGTGGTCTCAACTCGAACAGGACGGAGGCGAGGAGAGGCCGGAGTGCCTATCCTCAACCAAGATAGGCTCCCAGGTGCATGGTTTCATCTTGGAGAAAAGAGAAAGGACGAGGCCGCAACCAATATGAGGTCCGAGGTGCGTGACCCCAGCAAAAAGACGACGGAGGCAAGGACAAGGCCGGGGTTCGAAGTGCGTGGCCCCAGGAAGCTCAAGCTGAAGAAGACAGAGGCAAGAACGAGGCCGGGAGGGCTTATCCTCAACCAATATAAGTTTCCGAGGCAAGGACAAGGCCGGGAGGGCCCATCCTCAACCAACATGGGGTTCCGAGGTGTGGAAGTTCAAGCTGAAGAAGACACAGGTAGGGACAAGGCCGGGGGGGGGCTCATCCTCAACCAGTATGGGTTTCCGAGGCGTGGAAGCTCAAGCTGAAGAAGGGCAAGGACAAGGCCGGGCGGGTGTATCATCAACCAATATGGGTTTCCAAGACGTGGGGTCTCAAGCTGCAGAAGCGCAACGACAAGGCCGGGAGGGTTTATCCTCAACTAGTACGGGTTTCCGAGGCGTGGAAGCTCACAAGTCGAAGAAGACAGAGGCAAGGATAAGGCCGGGAGGGTTTATACTCAACCGATGTGGGTTTCCGGGTTATGGAAGCTCCAGCCGAAGAAGACAGAGGCAGAGACAAGGCGGGAAGGCTTATCCTCAACCGGTATGGGGTTCCGAGGTGTGGAAGCTCAAGCCGAAGAAGACAGAGGCAAGGACGATCCAAGGTATGGAAGCTTGAGCCTCAACCAATGTGGTTGCCGAGGTGTGTGGTCTCAGCGACAAGGCCGAGAGAACAATCCTCAACTAAAATGGGGTGTGGGGTCTCCCCCCCGCCCCCCCTCCCCCTGAGCGCCCTCCCCCCTCCTCCTGGGGCGGGAGGGTAGTGGGCAGACACCAAAAAACAATCCTCAACTGAAATGGGGTGTTGGTTCCCACCCCTCCCCGGCCCCCTCCCCCACCCTCCCCCCTTCCCTCCCCCTCCCCACCCGGTGCCTCCTCCGGGGGGTGGCACGAGTCTCACGGGGGGTAGTGGGCAGACGCACGAGTCTCACGGGGGGTAGTGGGCAGACACCAAAAAACACCTCAACTAAAATGGGGTGTGGGTTCCCCACCCGGTGCCCCCTCCGGAGGGTCCCCCCCCTCCCTCCCCCCCTCGCTCTGCCCCTCCCACCCCCCTCCCAAACCGCAACCAGCGTGGAGTGCCAGGTGCGTATCCTCAAGAAGAAAAAGGCCGGGAGCGGGAACGAAGCCGTGCAGGCTCGCCTGCATGGTGTCCCAGGTACGTGGTCCCAACCCCAAGAGACCGAAGTGAGGAGGTGAGCGCTGATTATCCTCAACCAATGTGGGGTTCCAGGTGCGTGGGCTCAGTCGAAGAAGGCGGAGGCAGGGACGAGGCCGGAGCACTCATCCTCAACCAATATGGGGTCCCAGGTGCGTGGTCTCAGCCCGAAGAAGGCGCTTATCCTCAACCAATATGTTCCAGGCGCGTGCTCGGAGGCGGGAGCGCTTATCCTCAACCAATATGGGGTCCCAGGTGCGTGCTCTCGCGGACCAGGCCGGCGCAATATGGGGTTCCAGGCGCGTGGTCTCAGCCCGAAGAAGGCGGAGGCGGGGAGCTGGGGTCCCAGGTGCGTGCTCGGCAGGGACGAGGCTGGAGCGCTTATCCTCAACCAATAAGGGGTCCCAGGTGCGAAAGCGGAGGCGGGGACGAGGCCGGAGCGCTTATCCTCAACCAATATGGGGTCCCAGGTGCGAAAGCGGAGGCGGGGACGAGGCCGGAGCGCTTATCCTCGACCAACATGGAGTCCCAGGTAGGCGATCTCGGCCCGAAGAAGGTGAAGGTGGGGACGAGGGCGGAGCACTTATCCTCAACCGATATGGGGTCCTAGGTGCGCGCCCTACCGCAGCGTGCAATCAGTGCCAGGTGCTTGAAGCCAGAAGAAGGCGAGCTTCAAGAGGAGGCGACAACAGGCTCGAAGGACTTACTCTCAGAATACGTTCTCGGCGCGTGGTCTCAACCTGAAGAAGACGGAGGCGGCGACAAGGCCGGATCGCCTATCCTCAACTGTCATGGGTTCCCAGGTCCGTGGTCTGGAGAGAACAGAAGCCGAGACCAGGCCGGAGTGCCTATCCTCAAGCAATATGGGGTCCCAGGTGCGCGGTCTCAACTTGAAGAGGATGGAGGCGGGAACCAGGCCGGAGCACTTGTCCTCAACCAATATCGGGTCCGAGGTGCGTGGTCTCAACTCGCACAGGACGGAGGCGAGGAGAGGCCGGAGTACCTATGCAAGGACAAGGCTGGGAGGGCCCATCCTCAACCAACATGGGGTTCCGAGGTGCGGAAGTTCAAGCTGAAGAAGACACAGGTAGGGACACGGCCGGGGGGGGGCTCATCCTCAACCAGTATGGGTTTCCGAGGCGTGAAAGCTCAAGCTGAAGAAGACAGGGGCAGGGACAAGGCCGGGAGGGCTCATCCTCAACCAATATGGGGTTCCGAGGTGTGGAAGTTCAAGCTGAAGAAGACAGAGGCAGGGACAAGGCGGGGGGTGAGCCATCCTCAACCAATATGGGTTTCCGAGGCGTGGAAGCTCAAGCTGAAGAAGGGCAAGGACAAGGCCGGGAGGGTTTATCATCAACCAATATGGGTTTCCAAGACGTGGCGTCTCAAGCTGCAGAAGCGCAACGACAAGGCCGGGAGGGTTTATCCTCAACCAGTATGGGTTTCCGAGGTGTGGAAGCTCACAAGTCGAAGAAGACAGAGGCAAGGCCGGGAGGGCTTATCCTGAAACCAATGGGTTTCCGAGGCGTGGAAGCTCAAGCTGAAGAAGAATATCCTCAACCAATATGGGTTTCCGAGGCGTGGAAGCTCAAGCTGAAGGAGACGGAGGCAAGGACAAGGCCGGGAGAGCTTCTCCTCAACCAATATGGGTTTCCGAGGCGTAGAAGCTCAAGCTGAAGAAGACAGAGGCAAGGACAAGGCCGGGAGGACTTATCCTCAACCAATATGGGACTCCGAGGCGTGGAAGATCCTCAACCAATATGGGTTTCCGAGGCGTGGAAGCTCAAGCTGAAGAAGGGCAAGAACAAGGCCGGGAGGGTTTATCCCCAACCAATATGGGTTTCCCTCAAGCTGCAGAAGGGCAACGACAAGTCCGGGAGAGTGTATCCTCAACCAATATGGGTTTCCGAGGCGTAGAAGGCTCAAGCTGAAGAAAAGAAGAATATCCTCAACCAATATGGGTTTCCGAGGCGTGGAAGCTCAAGCTGAAGGAGACGGAGGCAAGGACAAGGCCGGGAGAGCTTCTCCTCAACCAATATGGGTTTCCGAGGCGTAGAAGCTCAAGCTGAAGAAGACAGAGGCAAGGACAAGGCCGGGAGGACTTATCCTCAACCAACATGGGTTTCCGAGGCGTGGAAGCTCAAGCTGAAGAAGGGCAAGAACAAGGCCGGGAGGGTTTATCCCCAACCAATATGGGTTTCCCTCAAGCTGCAGAAGGGCAACGACAAGGCCGGGAGAGTGTATCCTCAACCAATATGGGTTTCCGAGACATGAAGGCTCAAGCTGAAGAAGACAGAGGCAAGGACAAGGCCGGGAGAGTGTATCCTCAACCAATATGGGTTTCCGAGGTGTGGAAGCTCGAGCCGAAGAAGACAGAGGCAAGGACCAGACCGGGAGGGCTTACCCTCAACCAATATGGGTTTCCGAGGCGTGAAGCTCAAGCCGAAGAAGACAGAGGCAAGGACCAGACCGGGAGGGCTTACCCTCAACCAATATGGGTTTCCGAAGCGTGAAGCTCAAGCGGAAGAAGACAGAGGCAAGGACAAGACCGGGAGGGCTTACCCTCAACCAATATGGGTTTCCGAGGCGTGAAGCTCAAGCGGAAGAAGACAGAGGCACGGAGAAGAAGACAGAGGCAAGGACACGACCGGGAGGGCTTATCCTCAACCAATATGGGTTTCCGAGGCGTGGACGCTCAAGCGGAAGAAGACAGAGGCAAGGAGGAGGCCGGGAGGGCTTATCCTCAACCAATATGGGTTTCCGAGGCGGGGACGCTTAAGCGGAGGAAGACAGAGGCAAGGAGGAGGCCGGGAGGGCTTATCCTCAGCCAATATGGGTTTCCGAGGCGTGGACGCTCAAGCCGAAGAAGACGGGGGCAAGGACCAGGCCGGGAGGGCTTATCCTCAACCAATATGGGTTTCCGAGGCGGGGAAGCTCAAGCGGAAGAAGACGGGGGCAAGGACGAGGCCGGGAGGGCTTATCCTCAACCAATATGGGTTTCCGAGGCGTGGAAGCTCAAGCGGAAGAAGACGGAGGCAAGGACGAGGCCGGGAGGGCTTATCCTCAATCAATATGGGTTTCCGAGATGTGGAAGCTCAAGCCGAAGAAGACGGTGTGGAAGCTCAAGCTAAACAAGACAGAGGCAAGGACACGGCCGGGAGGGCTTATCCTCAATACGGAGTCCCATTCAGGCGAACACTGAAGGAGACGGAGTCGCCGAAGGCGAGCCATGGAGTATCCGCGCTCGCAAGCGGGACAATTGCAAAAGGATATCAGAGAAAGAGACCATCACTGAGCATGTAGTGCAGCCAGACGCATGCAGGAGTACCTGCTCCCAGCAGCTTATGAACGCAGCTCTTGTTCATTGAGCAATTCCTAGCCAGCGGTCCCCCTCGGAGAAGCTATGGCGACAGGGACAATCTGTTTCGAGAGATCGGAAGGTATACTGCGGTGCTGCGCCCGCACCTGAGGATGTGTCGCGGGAAACTACTTCTCATTTACTCGGCTTTGTTTTTACGCCAGGAGTGCAAGGAATATGCCCGATACTTGGGCATCGACCCCGGATACGAGGGAGAAGAGACACACAACGCGATGTTGTGCCCGAGCCTCGGACGCTCTACGAGTGAGGAGTCCTGATATGCCGTTTACCTTTATCGAGGCCCTCCCTGTGCACGCCGACTCGGGTTGTGTCCGTCGGGGCCTTAAGAAGCGCTCGTGATGTCTCTGCTGAACACGATGGCGCTGCAGGCCCCGCCGCCGCGACAGAGCCGGGAAACCGGAGCGCGAAGCTCCGAGCCCGTTGGACAGCATCAAGAGCCAACTGGGCGTCAGGGGCCGAGCAACGCCACGCTTATCCTCAACCAGAATATAGGGGCCAGGGGGTACAGCCGCCACGCTTATCCGGTGCCAGGCGAAGAGGTGCAGCCGCCACACTTATCCTCAACCAGAATGGGGGCCAGGGGGAAGAGGGCGCAGCGCCGGCGTATCTCATACCAGAAATAGGGCCAGGGGGAAGAGCACAGCCGCCACGCTTATCCTCAACCAGAATAGGGGCCAGGGGGTACAGCCGCCACGCTTATCCGGTGCCAGGCGAAGAGGTGCAGCCGCCACGCTTATCCTCAACCAGAATGACGCTTATCCGGTGCCAGGCGAAGAGGTGCAGCCGCCACGTTTATCCTCAACCAGAATGGGGGCCAGGGGGAAGAGGCGCAGCCGCCACGCTTATCCTCAACCAGAATAGGGGCCAGGGGGTACAGCCGCCACGCTTATCCGGTGCCAGGCGAAGAGGTGCAGCCGCCACGCTTATCCTCAACCAGAA